GTTAAATACATAAAAAATGTCTTCTTAAATTAAAATTGGCTGTTAGTTTGTGCTTTAAAATAAATTTTAGAATTTGATATTTAGACTTCAATGCAATGCTCTGTTATATCAATACTTACAAGAGCTGAATTTCACTATATTTAATATATATCTCTTTATTGTTCATCATAATCAGCTGTAGAAGCTCTAAGTAAAATAAGTTAGCACTTAGTAATGTATAAATAGACATGTTCTGATTAGAAAATCCAAAATAATCAAGCAGACACACTAGATATAATAATCTTTTTCTACACAAAATCTCTCTCTTCTTCTCTTCTTTTCTTTTTTTTCTTCTCTTAAGCTTATTATATTTCTTGTTGTCTCTCTCTCTCTGTTTTAATATCAAGATAAGTAGTGGATTTCAAATGAAATAAGGAACTGCAGCAAACTGAAGAATAATATATACAGAAATATCAAAAAATAGCTCTGCAAACATATAAATTAGTAGCAGCTCAGAACAAGCACTTTCTGATAACTGCAAAAAAGAAGCTAGAGCAAAAGCTCTTGACTATTAAAAAAAAGTTTGCTATAGATAATACACTCTGTGGTTGCTATTTAATGTTTGTATATATAATATATATTAACAAGTCTTGTTTATACAAGCAAGAAATTATCAAGATCTGTATTAATTATACAGAAGATAAAAAAGTCTGTGCTTCTGTCTCTTCAGAGATACAGAAGAAAGTAACAGCATTACTATCTGACTATAATAATTTTCTCAGACTTAAGAATGTGATGCTCTGAGAAGAACTGAAAACCAGTATAATAGAATGAGCTGCTAGTCTTAGTAAAATGCTTGTCAAAATAGTATCTCTGTTAGTTCAAACTGACAACTCCCCCCCTTCTCTCTCTTTTAATACTGAAGTTGGTGCTGCCACTTTGATAGTATTAAAAAAGCTTATATCTATTCAAGTCAAACAAAAAGAGCTTGCAGAGTATATATTCTGCTCTGTCAAGATAGATTAAACTGATTAAAGATCATACATTTAACTCATACTAATGCAGTTATATATATAAAATATTGAAAGAATCTTAACTAATATCTACTGGAACTTAAAGTTCAATTATTTATCTTCTGCAGTCAGTATACTTAATGTAATATCAGAATAAATTAAACTGACTTTAATATTTAATAATAGAAAAAGTGAAAGACAGAAGAAATCATTTATAAATCAGTAGTTAAGATAGATTAATTTATTGCTGCTTTGCTCTCTGCTGTATCTGCTTCTTTCTTCTTCTTCTTCACTCTGATTATATCTTCTTTCTTTATTTAGTTGCAGCCAAATCTATCTGTGTCAGGTCTGTCTCCAACTGGAGATAGTGGAGCTGATTTACTTAAAAGTATGATTAAGTAGTCTGAATAAGCTTGCTCTGATGATTCTTCTGTACTTGTTTTATGCTCTGTTTCTGAATCAGAGACTCTAACCAGTGAGAAGGCTTCTGAAATTTAAAAAAAAAAAAAAAAAAAAAAGTTCATTAAAATTCAGATTGTGCAGGTGGTTCTGTAAATACTTAGTAGTTAATTTCTAGTAATTAAAAAGCTTCTGAATTAGGTTCAAAACCCTTAATTGGTGCATCATATATTCCAAATTCTATATGTTTCAGACCCTTTATATGTGCATTGTAAATATATGGTAGATCTACAGTTTCAAGCTTGCAATCTGTGGTTCAATGGGTTGTGTCAGATAAATGTTTTCTGACAGTTACCCGAAAAGCTCATTTTTCTGGTATGGTAAGGTAGTTCACCACTAAGTGAGCCACACCACTAAATGAGCCAAATCTTCCACCACCAAAATTCCTCCAATGTTCAACATTCAATATGCAACAACATGGTCAACAATGCCTCAATTAGGCTTGCAATTGAAGATCTTGAATTGCAAGAGACCTCAAATTATGCTGCAACTGTGAGAAAGTACTCAGTTAACTGAGAGACCCTGCACCAACAGTATAAAGACTTGCAACTTGCTCAGAATGAAGCAGCCTCCTGATATAAGAAAAAGCTCTCTAATATACAGAAGGCAGAGCTTCTGAATTATATAAACAAGCTCTCTAGCCACAGCCTTGCCATTACACCTCAGATCCTATGAAATATTGTACAAGAGATGACAGAAGAGAATGTTGGGATCAACTGGGTTAATCAATTTCACAAGCAGCATAATGACAAGATCAAATGCATTTATCTTAAAGCAATTAATTAAAATAGACAGATAGCAGATAACTATCAGTACTTTAAGCACTTCTATATACTTGTAATTTGATGATTTATTTAATTACTTGCAATTGCAGTTGTTGATGCTGACTAACTATTTGACTACTACTTATGAAATAGTTGGAGCAGAAAATTGATCAATATAATCTTGAGCCCTCAAACATCTACAACTTTGATGAAAAAGGATTTCTTCTAGACTCCTGCCATGTCTCAAAGTAATTAGTCTCTATTGAAGCTCTACAAGCTGGAAAGAATGCTGCTATTCAGAATGATAGTCAGGAATTTCTCTCATTGCTCTGCTCAGTCTCTGCTGAAGAAATTGTACTATCTTCAGCTCTTATTTACCAGAGCAAATCACAAGATCTTCAGAATACATGGCTAGATAATTATGATGGAAGCAAATAGGCCTACTTTGCAGCTTCAACAAATGATTGAAGCAATGATGAATATGGACTGGAGTAATTGAAACAGATTTTCAATCAGTATACTAAGAAACAAGCTGATTAAGAAAGACATCTGCTTCTACTAGATGGCCATTCCTTCTATATAAATATGAAATTTATTGAATACACTGACTGTAAAAAGATCCTCCTTATGATTCTTCCACCACATTTAACCCACCATTTGCAATCTCTTGATGTTGGAATCTTTGGGCTGCTGGGCAAGGCATATTCCAATGAGCTGGAAGCACTACTATGTCAAGAAATGAGCTATATTCAAATGACAAAAAGGGATTTCTGGAGACTATTCAATATGGCTTGGAAGAAGGCTTTGACAGTTGAAAATATACTTGCTGGCTTTGCAAAGACTGGAATTAACTCTCTGAATCCTTAATATCAACTACACCAATTTGAAACTGCTCAAGCCCCTACACTGTCAGTTAAATCTTCTATTTCTAGCAATATGCACCAGCTCTGATAAGAGATCAAGAGTATACATCTCTGGCACAGTCTAAATTTGCAGAGCATTGGACAGATTATTCAAGTCAGTAAGCAGTTTGCTCTTTGTAATAAACTGCTGAAACATAAGAATCAGTAACTAAGATTAACTCTAGTAATGGAGAAGCAATACTGCAAGCAAGGCAAGTCTCTGGGCCTACTTAATAGAGATAATCCTAGTCAAGCACAGTTCTGATCTCCAATAAAAGTTCTTAAGACATGCAAGCATCTGGATGAAATAGAGGCTGAAAAAGCTGATAAAATTGCTCAAATACAAGAGACAAAACTTTAACAAGAGCTTCAAAAGAAGCAGGCTGCTAGAGATGTTGAAAAAAGATGGATTGAATGAAAGAATGTCTGTAAAAAGATCTGAAAGCAACAAGAGATCAAAAAAATCAAACATACTAGATAAAGAGAGGCACAATGTATTGCTTGTGAGAAGAAGAAGACTTTATAACTAGCAGAGAAGAAAAAACAGATAATTAAATATACTAATAAATACTGGCAGTCAGGGCTTCAAGCACCAGCTTTAAAGTGCTGTTGGAAGGACTTCTCTACTAAAGAGTCTTATTGCAGAGAGCCTATACAATCTTCCAAAAGAGGAAGTAAGAGCTCTACAAGCATCTCTAGCAAGACATTAGACTCTCTAGCCAAGAAATCTACTGTTGATATTCCTTTGAATTCTTTCCTATCTACCCTCCAAATCTCTCACTCTGACCATAATATTAGGCCATCCACCCATTTATTTTCCTAACTATACTAATTTCTATGCTTTAAAGAATACATTTATTTAATATTTAATAGCTATTTAATAATAAAGATCTGGTTGTTGAGATATTTAATAAATTCATTGCATGGAGCATTTGGCGAAATTTGGCTCGTTTAGTGGTGTGGCTTGTTTAGTGGTGAACTACCTTAATCTATGTGGGTCACGTGAGCGAGGTGCTAGTTGGATTACCTAACACTTAGGGCTTCGCCCCGGAACAACCTTCCGCCGGTCCGCCAGCTCAGCCAGAAGGTCGCGGGTCTGTCTCACAGCTTGCATCAAACCATAAAAGAATAGATGCAGCAGTAAATATATTCAGAACTTTAAAGATATTATTATATTTCTTGATTTATTTAAATTCATTGTTCTTTCTGATTAGTGCTGTGAGTGATGCTACTATTTTAGAAAAGTCTTTTATAAATCATCAGTAGAAGTTTGTAAACCTAATAAAGTCATGCATGTCTAACTATTATAAGGGCTTTCCATTTCAGTATAGCTTGCATCTTTTCAGAATTCATCCATACATCTTTGCCAGTCTTAATAATAAATTCAAGATATTTTATTGATATGACTTCAACGACTATGCTCGCTCCCTTCGACACTGCGACTATGACTTAGTCTGCGAATTCATCCAGATATGCCTCAGCGCCATGGCAATTCAGCTAATACGAGGGGTAAACCCAATTTGGAGGGAAAGGCCAACAAATATAGAGGCTTGCGAACACAGGATTAGCTAGACAAAGATAAATCTACATTCAGGACTTCTTTGGCCTCCCTGTCTTCTTCCTTCCATCTCCTCCGCGTTGCTCCAGGCGCTGACGTTTCACCTCGTCTACCTCCTCAGTGGGAAACTCCCCTGCGGGCTCCCGGTTGTTGAGAATTGAGTACCTTTGCCGCAACGACGCCAGTGTTCTATGTGGGAACCTAGAAACAAGTGTCAACTTTTCTTTACAATATTTTGAGATCGGTATTTGACTCAAGAACATCCATAGGTAGGCAAAGAAAAAAAATGTCAATATCAAAAATCACTAGGTGCTTTCCCCACAGTCTATCTCGCATCAAACGGCCACAACTTCTCCGCCTTCTCGACTGTCATGCTATCATCGCCCCGAGCTTCGGACTCTCTTGCCGTTTCCATCCACTGCTCATACGCCATCCTATTCGCCTCTCTTGCGTCTTCCCAGAGCTCATTGGGCATCCATCCGTCGGATGTCGTCTGCAGTGATATTTTCAACCATGTCTTGAGTTTCTGCGTTGCTTCAAAATCCTCATACTGCTTCCTGTGTTCTGCAAGTTCGCCCTCACTTGGAGCGTATGGGTACGGAGCCGGTAAGCCTAGTTCTGGCTTGTCCCAGAGGGCGCTGAGATCAATCAGTTCTTGGCGGATCGCGGGAATGCCATCGCGCCAGGTCGTAAAACAGTAGTGGAAGAGACGGAAAAAGGTGGGATCAAGCAGTCTTCCCGGTTTGATCTTGCGGTTCTTGTATGTCATGATCAAATTGTAGGTTTGGTTGCAGATGGAGAGGTCTGAGAGCAGTTTCTCCTCCTCTTTGGATTTTGGTTCATTATTATCTTCGCTGGGGTCGGTGTCTGGGAGAGCTGCGAAGTCTGGAGTCATGTGTGCGTATATGAATGCGGGCTCGACGCAGGTTAGTTGCCAGTCGATTATCACAGTGATCACAGTCGGGTCGTCGGAGACGAAGATGTTGCGTTTGTTATAGTCTGCATGTATTAATGTTGGCATACCAGCCTCTTGGATGCGAGGGCTCTGCACTAGTTTATGCATTGTTTCTCGACAGATATTTACAAGGCGAATATGCTCTTCCACAGAACCGCGATATGGGAGGTGATTGTCCGGTTGCTTGGGAATACGGGAGAGCGCGGTGTCTATTAGCCCAGATACATAGTCATCAAGCGTTTTCCCTACAATACAGCTGTTAGTATCGGGTGAGAAAATCTGGGCAGGAATGCAGCGTACATGGACCACGATTTTCACTCGGCTCTCCATAGAGCTCAGGCTCCCCGGCCCCGCGGTGCCAAAATAACGGGCTACAATATGGTCCAATGCAGAATCGGTCATCATCTTGCAGTGGAACTTTGAGAGCTGCTTCGATCGGTGCGTCGGAGAAGTAAATGTTCCCATAAGCTGGGAAGTTGAGCGATGTCATCTTCGGAATCTTCAGCGACAGGTGCTTGGTGCATTGCATGTGTTGAAGCCCGTCCATCTGAGGCCATTGCTCATGTAACAGGACGCCGTCCACATGTGCTTGGATGATGTACTCTGCACCAACGGGGTTGCTAGGGTCATCGTTCCAGGCCAAGACTTTGGGAAGGGGGAGTGAGGTCTTCGACTGTACTGTAGAGATCGTAAGACATAGAAGACTAAACTTGGACCGGATAACTTACAATATGCGATTGTGGCAACCTCTGAATTCGTCGTGAGTCGTGGCGCACCAGCAACTCGCGTAGGTATCCTTGCCACAAGGCGCTCGCCGTTGTCAAACGTGAGGACGAAAACTCTGTTATAGCCACCTTCCTTCTTTTCATAGCTTGTGACACGAGATGCGCCCTGGCACAGGCCAATTGCAACCTCACATAGTGTAGAGAAACTGAACTGGACATGTCGTGCGTTGCGTTGGAGCTCATCCTGGTGGAGGAAGCGCCCTGCTGTGTACGAGCACGGATCTTGACCTTGGGTTTTGCAGGAGCGGTATTAGCACCCCATTTTAGCTGGTGCGTTCATACATACTTGGGACTGGATATATCTTGTTTCCAGAATTGCCCGAAAATAGCCTCGATGTACTAGGGTAATGTGCACTAGGCACAGGGGAGCTCACTTTCCCTCCCATCCTCAATGGGCGCGGTGGTAGTTGGTGATAAAGGGCAGGGTAGAAAGCCGGTGAAATACACCTGATGTACCTGGCAAAGGGAGCCGGTCTTCCGAGCATAACGAACACTCTGAAAGAGGCGAGCAATTGTTTGATATAAAACAGTGGGCTCAGTCTGGCTGGAGCTTTGTTGGGTGTGGGCGCGTACTTGGCCTGGTCGGTCCTGACTAAGCCACACGGCAGCTTGGACGAGGGACTAACCCATAGCTATCGGGTCTACTCCGAATATGAAGTCTCTACGGAGTATACAGGCTTCAAAGATAACATGTGGGCAAGCTGAAGCTAAGCCTAAAAGGGAATGGAATAACTATATTCCGGTCAACACGTTGTGATCGAAGCTTCCCAAATTGCATGTGCTCCCCCCAACCTTCGGTCAATTCACACTCCTTCCTCGTCCGATTAAAAGACTAGGCTTCACCAATTCCCATCTTTCAAAATGGTTCGTCATCAAATGGTGCCCAGAATTGAGTGTCAAACGCGGATAGTGGCCAGAAAACGCGTGGCACCCGAAGACAAAGGTAATTTCCAGATCTTTTTTACTGTATTCCAGTCTGACTTGTTATAGGGAAACAAGTTAAGCGAGTTAAGAGAGAACCACAGAAACAGCAAGCGAAGTCCTACCGCAGGAGCGTGCGGCTAAGCAGTAAAATCGCCTCTGCAACTGTATGTGCGCTTCTTCCGGTTGTATCACTGTGATATGATACTGATTCAACGGAGATATTGCAGGACTCTCCGACCAGCATCCAGACCCGAGAACAGAATACAAAACTAAATCAGAAACGATCTTCTGAAGACCAAACACTCTCCTCTTCAAAACGACCACGATTGTCTTTACCGAGCTTAGCTATTGACCCCCCTGAGGAAGAAAAGCAACATATTACCAACTGGAAGAAGATTGACCTGACTAGATATTGGTGCAGGAATGACTGCTGGCCTAAAGAATATTTTAGAGCACAGCCTGGACAGATTGAAAACATGAGCCATCTTCTTGCAAAAAAAAAGTCAACAGCTTCTCTTCGCCGCAAGAACTCAAATTCAAGTCTTGCTACAGGCTCTAATGCACCAACTGATCAAGAATTGAGAGATGGAAAGAGCGCCAAATACAGGAGCGCTACTTATGAGACCGTCCTTGCCACCAAAGGCAGCTTTATGGCTGAATTTGAACTTGAAGTAATGGAAAGAAGCAAGCAGATTTGCAAAATGCTACTTGACGAGAAACAGATGATTCCTGAAGGCACAATATTTCAGAATGACCGATTCCGGAAGGCTTGCCAAAAGCTACAGAGTAAAAACGAATCAAGAGTTATTCAAGATATATCTCGGTTGATTGTTCCTGCGGCGGAGACATTAGCTACGTGTGGCGCTAAGAATCTCGAGTGTTTGGTTGAAAGTGTCAATGAACCATGGGGTTCCTCTATTGCCTTCTGTGGACCACGTCCGCAGCCTGATTATGCGGTCGGGTTCGGCCGGTCTGCGTTCACAGAAGACGAGCTAAATAAGTTGGAGCCATTCCTTGGTGACGACCCGGAAACCTACAGCTCCTTCTTCCTAGCCACCTTCTACATGTACTTTCCTTTCTTGACCAGTGAGGTTAAGGGTACCACCGCCCTCGACATTGCCGATCGACAGAATGCACACAGCATGACCATTGCTGTGAGGGGTGTTGTTGAGCTGTTTAAACTTGTGGGACGCGAGGAGGAGGTCAATCGCGAGATCTTGGCTTTCTCAATCTCACACGACCACAGGACAGTGAGAATATACGGCCACTATGCAGTCATTGAGGGGAACAAGACGTCCTTCTACCGTCACCCAATCAAAACATTTGACTTGACCAGCGAGGAGGGGAAGGATAAGTGGAGTGCATACAAGTTTACCAAGAATGTTTACGATATGTGGATGCCAGATCACCTGAGAAGGATCCAGTCTGCCATTGATGAGATCCCTCGTGGAGTAAGTTTTGACGTTTCACAGTCAGAACTTGGACTCTCTCGATCAAATGCCCCGTTTACTCAACAGACGCACGTATTGAAGCGACCAAGGAGGCAGAAATAGAGTGCATCAATGTGGCTGGTTAAGACAAGAATTAATTCTTATTATTTGGACTATCCTACATGTGGTATGTCAACTTGATCCAGAATATTTTTATTCACATTTCCGTAAACGCATAAGCCGCTTGTTAGACTGCAGGTACCACATCCGACGATTGCTATCAATCCGACACTGGCGAAGCAACGCCAGATTAGGGAGGTGCCTGGCGGTTGCCAAGGCTGACCTCCCACAACACATTACGCACAGGCCCCGTGAACTCGAGATCAATAGCTGGATTCTGCCCACCAGTCCAAACGACCTCTGATCATCTCTGTCACAAGTGAGGTGCAGATTCAGGATGGCAAGTTGGACAACACACGAGAGGCACTACCGCTATTACGATAACTGCTTCTTGAAAAGAACCCTTTCACCCAGCGAATATCAGCGCGATTTCCGTGGCCAACTACACATTTCACTCGACAACGCGGCGAGACTCGCAAATGAAGCTGCCACCTTAGACTTCATCGGCCAAGAGACTGACATCCCCGTCCCACGCGTCATTCACGCCGGTGAGCACAGCGATGGATCCTATCACTTGTGGACAGAGCTAGTCCCTGGTGTTCCTCTAAAAGAAATCCCACTCTCTGATCAACACACAGTGATCGAGCAGATTGAAAGGTATAAGAGCACATTACAAGGCCTACGGTCTAGTTGCATTGGTGGACCAACTGGTATTGTCTGTCCTCCACCAGTCGCCAAACAACTGCAACGCGATGAAATGTGGATTACGAAGCATTCTCCAGCTAAAGAGTATGTGTTCTGCCACAACGATCTTTCGCAATCCAATGTCATCGTCGATCCAGATACTCTGGAAGTTAATGGTATCATCGATTGGGAGTTTGCTGGATTTTTCCCAAAATGTTTCGATGTCCCATTCTACAGAAGCCTCAAGCCTCCAGGAGCACAGATACGATCCCTCGCTGATACTTGTGAATTGGAACAGTTCTTCTCGGTATGTGAGTTGGATCAGGCTTTTTCGTTTCTTGATCTACAATATCCAACTAGTGAGTGTACCAGAGATTGGGTTGAGGAGGGGCCCTACAGCTGTCCTAGTCTCTGATATTTTGAATGGAATGGAAGATAGCTAGGCAACATAATAGATTAATTATTCAGAGAGTGGTCCCGCTCAAATCTCAAAGCCTTAGCGACAAGAGTACCAACAGCGTAAGAAAAAAAAAGAAAGTAAACGCCGCCTTCCAGTCGGACCGACGACTCCAGTGAAGCAAACTCCTAAGGGCTGAAGTAGAGTGATCAAAAAGGCTTTATGTACTCCGGAGCACTTCTGTAGTCATTTTCGAAAGAAAAAAATGGGAGCAAAAAAGTGAGCTGGAGTAGTCGCACCAGGGTTCGAACCTGGGACCTTCTCGGAACACAGTGTTCAGCTTGATGTGAACGAGAAATCATAGCCACTAGACCACGCGACTGCATGTCAACTTAAGTTGTTCTTACGTAACGACTAGTACAAAGTCGCATTTTTCAAGCCTATAATTGATCATCTTGGTGGAACACTTCAATCTGCAGGGGCGAATACCTGGGTATCGAAACTGGGTTGGAAAGCCCTCCCAAAAACCCCGTTTTGTATTTGTTGCAAAATAGGTGTCTTGCGGCTGCCACGGATGGTGTTACCGTTTCGCGACCGCTCATATATAATAATTTTTGGGCGAGGAGGGTGGGGATCTAGAGGCTCCGGGATTGTAGAACCAATAACACGCGACCATCCATGATAGAAGTACATCTTATTCTTGTATATACAGTTTTGTCTTCGACATGTAAAATCCGGGCCTTCCCAGGGTACAGGGGAAAAGCACGAATTGATTCGTTGCAAGATAGGTTATAGAGGAAGATAAATACATGGGAAGGGACACAAACATGAAAATAGCCCTGAATTTCCCTCAATAAGAAGTAAAAGTATGTGAAGAGTCGACTCGCAGCAGTTGGAAGCCGCAGTGAAAAGCATTAAAAAGACTTAGCTCCCGGTAGTCGCATATCGACTTTCCAGGTATTCGACGTTGCGTTGAGAGAAAAGGTGATATGACCCGCATATAGAATCGCAAGCCCAGTCAATCGCCGCATCAGCCCAATGTATCTATGCAGCTCCCTCCATGACCTCGAAAATACCACCCATCACGTATCGTGGTTGGTGGGTCGCACTGGAGCTATTTGAAGTGGTGGTTTTTGCTTCCACCTGAAACCCTAGGGTTTTATTTCCATCCTCGTCGATGTTCGCAAGTATGGGCATCGGGTCAACCGGACGAGGCTCCATTAGTCCCAAACTTTTTCGCTCGGTCTCATCTGCAGAGCACCTGGAGCGCTCCTCGCTCAGTGCAAGATCAACAGTGGATGGGCGACGGCGTAAGAACAGAGATGAAAGCCGGAAGGAACTAGGCGAGCGTGATGTGAATGAAGTCCTACTTCGGCTGCGAGCACGACGAAGGTATGGACCAAAAGCATGGCTTCGGATCGCGCTTATGGGACTCGAAGTTGGAGAACAAGTGGGGCTTGAAGTCGCCGAGGTCAATGGGCTCCCTCGCTCAGAGTCGGTAGAATTCGAGTTGCTGTACGTGAAGGGATTTCGGAGCGGACTGAAATCCGTCCATGGAGAAGGGAGCAGTTCGGGGGTTGGTTGTTTTCTCTCGGCCATTTTTGGTTGGGGTGGGGGAGAAAGCGCCTCAAAGAGGCTTATCAACTCTTGTACGGCCGTCTTGAAAAGGGACTGCTCGATGACGGTCCAGCGTAACAAATCTTTAGAGAATAATCCTCGGCTTAGAAGACAATAACACAGATAAGGCACTGCCGTTCTGTTGATAAAATAGGAAGAGCTGCTTCACCCTGTATGAATATACAAGCGCAACGTAGATCGACAATGGTACGGGAAACAAAGGAATTCACGGATCGACCGTATACGGAGCCCGACGTAAACGAGATGGAAAGAATGAAGGTTTGAGAGCAGCAACCGCTACCCTTGACGGCCGTCAAACCGTGGGTCAAGAACGTCCCAGACGAAGGAAGGGTAATGTGGGCAAGTTGTCAGACAAATATAATAATAGAAGGGAATGGCGAGCTTAGAGATATGATCCTCCACGTCAGTGATTCGAACCATGCGACTGCAACGCAAAGGCCAGGCAGGAGAGAAGCGAACCTAATCTTCGATGGTCTGGTGGGACAGCGACGGGCTAACTCTCAGCCTGGGGGTCCAACGGCGACAACAAAAAGAAAAGAAAGTGAGTATGGAAGAAGACAAGAAGAGAAGGGCGGGTTAATTTGAGTCAACCGCTGTGACAGCCAGGTCTGACCATCATGTGTGGTGAACTGGCGAAGGTCGGGAGGCGGCCGGGAGAAGCGCGAGAACAGGCCCTGGTTGTCTCACTTTGCAGAAGGGTGTTGAATTGATCCACCTCGGGGCCAGGGAACGCAAAAGTCACGACGTCATTCCCTCAAATGGGAGGTTACGGAGGGCTCCGTCCAAAAGACCAGGGGAAGAAGTCAAGCTGTCATCCATCGTCGACAATGACTTCTTGTGGGGTGCTCCATTCATCTGCACCGCCGCCGTTCTACCCCATCCACCAGCGGCTTCGTCGAATTGGCAGCAGGGTAAGGATTTGGCCTAAAGTCTTGAGCTTATTTTGGCCCTGCTTGATCCACGTAACTACTCCGTATACTCTCAACCAAGACTGCACATGTGAACATTAGCTCACTGAATCTTTTGTGTGTCTGTGTGTGTTACAGGGTGATTTGAGATAAACTCACAACGGGCTACTCTGTGGAGTACAGGGCAGTTTGAGTGCTAACTTGGTTATCATGCATGAATAACTCCTCAGTCCTACTGGACAAGCCGTTTTGTGCTACGTGTTGACAACAAACCAACGCCTTCTTCGGACCACTTCGGACTTAGCTTGGTGACCAGGTTCTTAAATAACAACATATCTCACGACTCTACTCTGTACTCTGTCCAAAATAACGGAATCTTTAATCAGGTTCCAGGCCATCAAGTGGTTGTGTTACAGGTTTGAACCCGGGACAAGATGTTACCGCACTTGACGTGTATTCTGTAACTAACTCCAGAATACAAAGCAACAAGCCAAAGGGTTATTATTGAGTTACTCATCTAGAGCGCTCAGGTGGTATAGTTTCTCTAGAATGATGATTGTGCTCCTCTTTCCTAGCATGATCCAGAGCACAGACAATTGAGGCTTTGTCATTGTCTGTCTGTGCCCTATCATTATAGTACCTCTGCCAGATTGTACACAGGGCCTGGAAGGCAAGGAAGATACTCCGTAACTACACATCTGTACGCATGGATCTGGGCGCGCATTGACACCAAGGCTTAGCGAACCCCTGAGCAGGGATGACTTACTAGCGGGTTACTCTACCGAAGTTTCGGCATCAAACAAGGGCTCCTGCGATATCATCTTCCCAGATAATGTATCAAGCTTGCTGGTGCTACCAAACAGAGTGTGATAATAGGGAATCAGCAAAGAATCAACTAGTTATTGGGATGTGAAGGGAGAGGGTCATTCAAATTAAGGGACTATTAGGAAGAAAAACTGCACCCAGGGGTCAGCCACTCTGTAAATGCTTAGTAATAATGAGAGCAGGAGCCGTCTACGGAGTACATCAAGCTCATACCTCCAGACACCATAACCACAGGCTCAACATATGCAAAAAGTGAAATTGAAAGGTACTATTTAACAAGGGAATATACAAATAGAAGTAGAAAAGTGTGTAACATCAAGGAAATTTTGAGTTTTCCTGTCGGTCTAGGGGGTTTACTTTTAATGGAAAGTTGTTGTGCAACGGACGGGGACACATTGCTGCAAACCTGTTCACAGAATCATCCCTCAGAAGAGAACATAATTGACCTCTGTCCCATCATTAGATAACCTCCAAACACGGCCATCCCCACCATCGTGTCTATCGTGTTCGCGTCAAATAAATGTATATAATACATGGGTATCTCTGTATCCATTGATGAATACTTCCCCACTGAAAATCCACCTTAAAGGGGGGGGAAGGGAAAGGCTGGGAACCAAAGGTTCCGCCATTAGTTTCCGGCTTCAGTTGCCCTGCGAGCGGCGCTGAGTAAAACTTCGCCTAATGCTCTCACCCCACACGGAATTGTCAAAAGAGTCCATCACACCCTGAACGCTAACTGAACTGCCAGCGCGGGAGCGTCCAGTAGTGCCATCCGTTTGTCCCGTATCTCTATCGCTAAGAGTAGTTCGATGAGGCGATAGTGAACCAATCTGGGACCATTCTGACTGCGTAGGAGAGAAGAATGGATCTTCGGTGGCTATTGTTGTATCAATGCGTGGTAGCGTTCGGGAGCTGCGGTGCGACGCTCCGGACCGATCACTTGTTGGCGAAAGCATGGATGGAGACGGTGGCCCACTTTGGTGGCCCTCTGAAGCCCCATCCTCTTGGCCATCGTCTTCGACATAGATCTCTGGGACAGAAAATTGTGGCACATCTACCAGTCGAGAGTCGTGCTTAAGTTCTTGATATCGGCGGAATCGACGAGACCAGTATAAGGTATTAAAGAATCCGACGACAACATTTCGACGTACTGCTTCGTCGACGCGTTGCAGACGGGCGCGTCTCCTAAGGAACTCTTCCAATCTGAAGGGATGTTGTTAGAGAATTTCGAAGCCAATAGTTACCAAAGATTATATAAAACCAACCTTAAGCTCTTGCTATCATTAATGACGTTATAATGAGCTAGTATCATCAGACACGAGGTAAAAGAGATTCCTCGCTCCGGATCTGCAGAAACAAGAACTTCCTCGTAAAATGCATTCAATCGGGCGCGTCTTCGACGGATTGCTCCCACGGGGAGGCTTTCAATTATTCGACACAACTTGTCTAGATCCACGCCGTCTACAGCACGAACATGTGGTTGCTGAGATTCACGGCCGCTCAACTTGCATTCCTCGAGAAGGCGCCCGACCGTGAAATCTCCATCGTAGATACGCATTTCGAACACCCCAGAAAGTTCCTATGCAGTGTCAATAGTGCAAGTCACCTCAAAACCAGTTAAAGAGTGCGATCAACTTACACCAAGAAGTCTGGGGAATTGTTGCTTGGAAATATA